TTGTTTGGCGGGTCCGGGCTGGGGATTTGAACCCACCACCTTAGGTGTACGTGGCTGGCGCCTTAGCCGGTTGAGCTATAGGCGCCGAGCCATCAGAATGGCATTTTAAGAGTAGACTTGATGTATAGTTATCCCAAATGAACTGTATGGGTAACAGTATAAGTAATAAAATGAAGCCAAAACATGTTTACCAAAAATATAGTAAAAAAGTAATTAATTATTGAGAAGGCAAGGATTTTCCTTAAAATAATTTGTTAGGGCTGGGCACAGTGGCTCATACCTATAATCCTAGCACTTAGGGAGGCCAAGTGCTAGGCCTTGGAGGATTGCTTCAGCCTGGGAGTTTGAGACCAACCTGAGCAACATAGTGAGACCCCATCTCTACAAAACAATAGAAAAATTTGCTATCATGGCAATGTGTACCTGTAGTCCAGCTACTTGGGAGGCTAAGGTGGGAGGATCACTTCAGTTCAGAAATTTAAGGTTGCAGTGAGCTATGAATACAGAAAAAAAAGTTTGTTTTTAGTTCTTGCTTCATATTCTTTATAGCTTTTAGTTCCCAGTTACGTTCTATTTCTGCTCTAAGAAGCCCCAGATGCAGAGTTAGAATAATTTCTTGCAGTTTGCCAACATTTTTATGTTTGCTTGTGTGACTACTGTGACTACTATGTGTGACTACTGTTTGTGGTACTAATACCTCTAAAAAAATGGAGCCTTTCAATTTCCAGAGATAACTTTATTTTTAAATATAAAATGTTTGATGGAATTTTGGAACTCTGGAAATAGATGTGTACATATGTGGATCTAGTCTGTAAGGATATCTATATTAACATTCATGTGTATAATATACATTTATATAGATAAAGGTAAAGCAATGAGAAATACCTAATAAAGCATTGGAAAAAACTCACATTTCAAATACAACCAATGAAAAATGTAATCTTTTAACATCTATAAAGTTCTTAATCTGCATTACTTTTAAAAATGACAATGCAATGATGAAATCATTTTGACTTTTTTAAATAAGCATGCTTTTAATAGTTTATTTCATTTATAAGGTGACAATGGAACGGATTCTGATGTGGAAGAGGAAGCAGATGAAGGCTCTAAGATGGGATCTGATTTAGTCAGTCAGTAAGTTAAAAGAGCTTTCATTTTTATTTGAAAATTTCTTTGTTATTTCTTCTGTAGTTTCTTATGTCAAAGATGTGATTGTTTTAGAAGATAATTTGACAGTGCAGAAGGATTGATTGTTTACTTGTTATGATTTGTCCTTTGGTTGTATATAAGGATGGACTTATTTTCAGAATTAAGTGATTTTCTTAAACTACTACACATAGATATTAAACAGCAGCATTGCAACCCGAAGCAGAATCTCATTTGGATTTTAAATAGACTATTCCTGATACCCACTATTTATATACTTTTATTTGTGTTTTGTTTTGTTTTAATTTTATTTTATGACAGGGTTTCTCTTTGTTGTCCAGACTGCAGTGCAGTGGTGCATTACTGCAGAGCTTACTGCAGCCTTCAACTCTTGTACTCAATCCATCCTCCCACCTTAGCCTCCCAAAGTGCTGTTATCATAGGTGTGAGCTCCACTATTAATTGCTTACTCTACCAGGCATCATATTAATAGTTTAGAACCTTTTATCTCATTGAATTCTTATACATATTAATTATTTATTTATAATAACCTCATCTCACAGAGGAGATAGTAAGGTTCATTTTATATAGGTATACATATTTTAACTATGAGTATATATAAATTGGTTATTATGATTAAGAAGTATATATGGAGCCTGGTGTGGTGGCTCATGCCTGTAATCCCAGCACTCTGGAAGGCCAAGATGGGCAGATTGCCTGTGCTCACAGGTTTGAGACCAGCCTGAGCAAGAGCAAGACCCTGTCTCTAAAAAAAAAAAAATAGCTGTGCATTGTGGCGGGTGCCAGTAGTCCCAGGTACTTGGGAGGCTGAGGCAAGAGAATCACTTGAGAATCACAAGAGAAGCCCAAGACATTGAGGTTGCTGTGAGCTGTGATGCCACAGGACTCTACCGAGGGCGACATAATGAGATTCTGTCAAAAAAAAAAAAAAGAAGAAGAAGAAGCTACATGCTAATTATTATTAAACATTTTTCTGTTCTATCAGTGCACATCAGACTTTCATCTACTAATTTTAGCATCTATTGATGATTTTTGCCTCAAGTAATTATTTCGGTAGTTTCCAATGATTGACTTTACCTGTCTTTGCAAAGTTTGGCATTTTCCCTGAAGAATAAGGAAAGTTTTGTGCTACAGTAGCACATTAAGAAGAGATTACCAGAGGTAGTAATATAAATAAGTTGTACATATATAACCTGAAATCTAGCACTTTTTCATTTCTAGTAGAATGCTGTTAGGCAGACTGGGTGCAGTGGCTCATGACTGTAATCCTAGGACTTAGGTAGGGAGGTCAAAGTGGGATGATCACTTGAGGCCAGGAGTTTGATACCAGACTGAGCAATACAGTGAGATTCTATCTCTACCAAAAAAAAAAAAAAAATTAACTGGGTATATTGGTATATACCTTTAATCTCAGCTAAGAGGAAGGCTGAGACCAGAGGATCACTTGAACCCAGGAGTTTAAGGTTGCAGTGCACTATGATGATGCATTGCACTGTAGCCAGAACAACAGAGTGAGACTCTGTCTCAGGAAAAAAAAAAGAATTTTATTGGGTAAGAATAACTAAAAAAGGACAATTAAAAAAAAAATAGAGATAGGCACTCCGTACAGTGGCACAATTATAGCTCACTACAGCCTGAAACTCTGGGCTCAAGTAATCTACCTCAGCCTTCCTTGGTATACAGGTGTATACCACCACACTCAGCTAATTTTTTGTTGTTGTTGTCATTTTAGAGACAGGGTTCTCACTGTATTGCCTAGGTTGGTCTCTAACCCCTGGCCTCAAGTGATCTCCCACGTCAGCCTCCCAAAGTGCTGGAATTATAGGCCTGAGCCACCATACCCAGTTATAAAGGGCAATTTTATGTTATAATTATAATAGAGAGCATCAAATTACCTACTGAAGCATTGAAAAGCTAGCACTATATTGCTTGGTTGCCTCTTAATTAGAGTTTCGTTACCAAGAACACCTTACTTAAGTATGTACACTCTTAACAGCACCATGATGACTTAACAACAGAATGGAAAATGTATACATTTTTAATATCTTACTCTTGGCCTTCCTTCAAAATACTTAGCTTTAACTTATTTCTGTAGTATACTGATCTAGTTCAGCTAGTTTTAGCAATTACAAGCCTGTTAACCTTTTAATTTAAGAGCTTTAAAAAGTGTCTTAAATTATCTAAATCATTTTGTTTCTCAATGCTATTTAAAGAGAATCCTGCATTTAACTTTTGCTTGAATGCATTTTTTTTGTTCAAATCTATTTATTTGTTCTAGATTTTAAGGAGTAAGAACTTACATTTTTTCATACCCAGACAGTGGTGCTACCTCTTCTCTTGTAGAAAGAGTCATTTAATGGACAGTCAATTAAACTAGGAATTTAGTTCTTTTAAAAAATAAAAGTAGGGCGGCACCTGTGGCTCAGTGAGTAGGGCACCGAGGATGGTGGGTTCAAACCCAGCCCCGGCCAAACTGCAACAACAAAAAAATAGCTGAGTGTTGTGGCGGGCGCCTGTAGTCCTAGCTACTTGGGAGGCTCAGGCAAGAGAATCGTCTAAGCCCAAGAGCTTCAGGTTGCTGTGAGCTGTGACGTTACAGCACTCTACGGAGGGCGACAGAGTGAGACTCTGTCTCTAAAAAACTAAATAAAAGCAAAAAAATGTTCAACTTCTGTACTATTCTAATCAAAAAAGTAGTTGATAGATTTAAAGCGACTGTTGTGAAGAACCCATTTCACAATGTAAGTTATAAGACAAGTCACATTAACTTTTTAATACTGCAGTGAGCAGGTTAAACGATAACAAATATTATTAAAAATTGTCATAAAAGCCACTTGTGGGAGTTGGTAAGTGCCAAATCTTTAAATTTTTTTAAATTGCTTGAGAATTGCTTTTTTAAATTGCTTGAGAATAACCTTTTATTTGGGGGGAAAAATTTTCTAAGCTTACATGATGTTAAATAATAATACTAATAGCTAGCATTTACTGAGCATTGTGTGCAAGACACTGTTCAATCACATTCTATGTCTTCAGTTATTCTTTGGGTTCGTACAACACCTTATGAAGTGGATATTAACATCATCAGTTTGGAGATGGAAAAACAAGGCTCCACAACACTTCTGTGACTAAGGTTGCACAAATGCTTGTGAAAGTTGGAGGCAGTGTTTTTTTTATAAAGAGGTTAGGTAGGCTTTTATGCAAATATAACTGGCTTTGCAACTTTGAAACCCTTAAGCTTCTTTAACACTGTATTCATTTGTAAATGCAAATAATTCTTGCCTCCTAAGATTATAGGGGTTAAATGAGCAAATGTGACTAGTTGTTATTAATTATGTTACTTATGAATGGGGGAGATAAGCAATGAAAGTAGAAAAAGGAAGTTAAATGCGGGAAAATAGAGGCTTTATCTGTGTTTCTTTCCCCTTACTTCTTGGAGCAATTAAATAACCAGGAGAGAGCAAACTGGGATAGCCAAGAACGGGGTTCTGAAGTTCTCTTTAGACATCCAGGAGTGATTGCAGGTGGGAAACTTTGTTCTCTTTGCTGTTGAGCAAAATCTGAAGCATACATTGAAAGGCAGTGATTTGCTTTTTCTCAGAGCTGTAGGAGGCTGCATAAGAGATCTTTAACTGGCAGAATCCTTGAATCCTATTAAGAGGGACAATTCATTCCTTACAGATATAGGGGAACAGAACTGGTGTGGAGATTCATGGACACCTCTTTCTGGGTTTCATCGGAAGATAAAGTTTGATAACATGGTTGGTGCTTAGTGCTGAAAATGTTCATGTCTTTTGTGACCTGCTAGTTTTTCTAAAAGATCATTTGGATGCTAAGGGAACAGTCAGTCATGAATAGGCAAAGAAGAATTAGAGGAATTTAATAACTTGAGAGTGGAAAGCTAATCTGAATAACTGTCACTGGTAACTTCTTTTGAGCACAAGAATTAATAGACTATAGGAAAGAAAACTTAAACATAGTAATGAAAACTCTCCAGGAAATATAATTACAGCACAGATGTAATTTTAGGAACTAAAAAATTCATAAATTTCTAAATTCAATAGACACTAATAAAGAGTAGAGTTATGGCTGAGAACTGAATCATTGTCATGAAAAATCAAGTTGAATAAATAAATACAGAACAATACAGAAAAAAATCTCCCCCTGAAAAAGTAAATTCTTATGTGTAACTCATGGGAGGCTAGAAGACAGTTTTAGAAGACCTTGCACACATACACTGGCAATTCTAGAAAAAGAAACAATGAGAAAAGTAGTCAAGGAATTATAGAATTCAATTTTTTGAGTTAAACACTTGTGTTAAGACCATAAGGCCAGGAATAATGAGAAAAGATATTGTTATGGGGTGAGTATGTCCCCTAGAGATTCATATGTAAAGTCTGAACCCCCAGAACCTCAAAATGTAGTATTGGGAGATTAAGGTCTCTAAAGAAGTAATGAAATCAAAAGGAGGTCTTTGGTGTGGGGAGTCCTATGCAGTCTGATTGGCATCCTGATAATGAGAGGAAATTTGAACTCACTGAAACTCTGGAAGCTAACCTCTGTCTTTGCGTTCATCCATTAGTCTATCTGAAATTTTTCCCTCGAACTTTTAATTTTGAAAAGCTGTAGAAAGTGGAAAGAGTAATATATGAACCCTCCACCTAGGTTCAGTGTTAACATATTGTCATATTTACTTTCTCTCTCACTTTGGTCTCCCAACGTGCTAGGATTATAGGTATGAGCCCCTGTGCTTAGCCTAGAACAAATTTAGTTTAAAGATCTCAATTGTCTTTATTCTAGAATCAGGCAACATTTTATTCCATGAAGTAGAGTAAATGTTCCCATGAACTGAGCAGAAGAGGTTGACTTTATAGACAAAGTTGAAAAAAGTAGTCACAAAAAGTTACCTTGGTTTTGGTTTTTATTTATTTATTTTTTTGAGACAGAGTCTCACTCTGTCACCTGCATGG